AAGTATCTGCCATACCATCATCATCATCACCACCACCATCACCATCACCAACAACATCATCCTCATCATCACTATCTTCATCACCATCACCATCACACTGGTCATCATCACCATCATTATCATCAATCATCATCATCATTTTTAAATCTCTGTCTAGTCAACTCCAATTTGCCCTTCCAGTTGTAGATCCTAGCTAAAGTATTACTTCTTCAACGGGATTGACCCTGACTCTCCAATGTATATATTAGACTTCATACAACTCTGTTCTTTTTTTGCCATGACAATTATTAAAATTTGTAATTATATATTTATCTTTATGTTTATTTGTTTAACATCCGCCTCACATTAGAACACAAAAGCTTCTTAAGGTTGGGTGTGCTTTGTTTACCATTATGTATCTATTATCCAGCTTAGTCTGGCATATGGTAGACCTTGAGTACTCATTTGTTAAATGAATAAATCAATACATGAACCACTCATCTTTAGACCAGTATACAGTCATTCAAATTATGTTTATGAAGAATTATAACATAGAAAAAATGTTGACTTGTTTAGTGGAAAAGCCAAGAGGTATAAAACTGTATCTATGAGATGATTACAATGCCATGAAAACAACAGCAACAAATCTATAAATGGGAGGAAAAGAGAAGAGATGAGAATACTAATAGAGGCTGTCTTTGGGTCATGAAATTATGGATGATTATGCTCCTTTTCATTTTTATTTTATATAATGTTAGATTTTTCTATAACAGCATGCTTTACTTTTTAAATAGAAATATACATATGTGTGTGTGTGTATATATATATATATATGTATATATATATATATATCTGAGCTGCATTGCAACTGAATTCTCCTCCCTACACTTGCCCAAGTATTGATGCTTCCTGCAAACCCAACAGCAGTTGGGTACAACCCCAATCAGCCCTGCTGGGCCAGGGTGCCCATCCCCACAACCCGACACCCACTCTGGGTGAGGCCTTTGCCATGTCCACCAATCAGAATCTCTGCCACATCTAGCTCTGTGGGTTCCCTCTCATACCACCTGTGCCTGCAAAGACCACTATCTGGGTTTCCTGCAGTTGGCTTCAGCAACACACCCCTCCCTGGGACACCTCAGAAGCCACACTCAAATAACAGATGATGTCAGAGGCAGGAGAGGAGTAGCTATGGCCCCCAGTGACATACATGGAACAGCATCCTGCAGGCCCTTGACCTCTATTCCCCCTTCTACTCATCATGCCTTGTGGTGGAGGTGGGGGTGGGCGGTGGTGGTGAGAGCAAATCCCAGCTTCTCAGTCCCTAGAATCAGCCTCCACCTGCGGTTGCTATTTCTGGGGGTGTCTATGAATTCCTTCTAAGATCTCTGTCCTGATCTACCCCTAGTCAAGTTCTCCTCCCAAAGCAGGCCACCTCTGAGGCATCTGTACCGAAATCTAAGTCTAGTCATAGAGTAGTTTAAAACATCTGGGCTGCAGAAGAACACAGGATAATCTCTCTCCTACAGGGTTCAAAGGACGTCTCCTAAGTCACTGGAGAAGGTTTTGTAGCAAATGAAATTAGCAAGTGAATCTCACGAACTTTTATTTGGCCCAAAGACATGGAAACATCTGAAATGTTAACTGTACACTCTAAGTTAATAAAAACTTAACTTACCATTTTGGACGACATTTTTATTTCTATTATTTATCACATATTCTTGTCCATTGTTGGCTCCTCTGGAAATGGGGATGAACTTGGAAGATGAAGTAGAGCTTCATGTCTGATCTCTGTTACTTGACACTTTTCCTTTCCAAGAATCATTTGCAGTTTCTGGGTTTTCTTGCTATGACTATGTGCCTCTTTGTGTCACATTGTCACGTGGGGCCAAAGCAATGAAGGTACTCTGTATTATTTTTATTATGAAGACTTGACCAGAACATGTAGGAACATAACAACTGTGTTTTTCTGTGGGTGTCATATTAGTCCAGATCATTGTTTTCAACCAACAATCAAGATGTAAAATCCTAGAACTCACTAGTCTATTTTAGTAGGTCACAGGAAGCATGCAAACCATAGAAACCACAGTCAACTAAAGCATCTATGTTGACGAGGTGTAAGAATTTCTATATCATCTAAAGGTTCCAATTGAACAAATCCATCGCAGATGAGTAAAGAGGTTGCAAGGGGCATCATCAAAGTACCCTTTCGGGCTGTTGATAATCCTTTCCTGTCTTCTTGCGGCAGCAGCAACTCTCTCCAGCCAGGCTTCTTCCAGGTTTCATTTGGTTGAGAACAGGTCTTGCTACCCACAGGGAGGCAGAGAGAACAAGCCTAACGTTTGGCTTCAATGTGGTAACCCTCAGCTCTGATCCTCACAGTGAGAATACACAGGAACCTTAACTCTGCACGGCCAGTGTCGTCTGGCTTTTCCCTAGGCACTCAGGGAGCGTGAACTATTTTCATTCCATTGGTTCTCAGAAGAATTGAGCATCTCCTCATCTCTGCCCCAGGTCACTTGAGGTGGCCACAGCAGTGCCTTCTACGTGATGCCGCTTGACCAGCAGGCACACTAGAGCCAGGTGACTCATGATACACTTTCTCTCAAGTCTACTCAAGAGGCCATGCTCATTTTCCAGACTGGGAATTTGAGACACCATGGGTCCAATGCCAATAGGTGGATAAGGGGTTCTGAAACTCATGGGAACGCATCTTTCCTAATTCTCCATGTGCATAAATAATTCTAAGATGTACTTATCTAGGCTCCTCATTTCCAAACTATCTAAATGGACTAGATGACAAGAAAGTGGCAAAAAAAAAAAAAAAAAATGTTTACTTGACCACTGTTGTGTGGTTATTTGCCATTTACCCCTAGATCCATCTCCACCCTTCTCTGTCCTACTGAGAACTGATGTCTATGGACATCACCTGGACTCCCCAGTGCTCTGCTTTTCACTGGGGTCAGCCATTGGGAGGCACCAGCTAGAGACCAGAGAATGGGAGTAGCAGACCAGGGCACTTTCTGCTCCTGCTCTCCCCTACTTTGCCGAAGTCCTAGCAGCGGCTGCATCCTTCAACCATTAGCTCTCAACTCCAGCTCTCAAAAGGGCTCGGGCAATTCTGTTTATTTATTTGATCCTTCAAGCATGGGGGTAATCCCTCCCACTGCTGCTAGTCACTAGGCACCTCAACATCCCCTATAGATGCCCTTAACCCTGCCCACCTCTCTGTAAACACGCTTGTCGTTATACAGTCTTCAAAATCCCAGCTGTGCATGCAATCTGTTCCTTGCATTAGGAAACCAACGATTCAAATCCTGGCTCTACCACTAACTATCTCTGCACCTCTCCTTGCTTATAAAATGACCAGGTTGGAGTCAACGATCTCTACTGTGAAGATAGAAATGGAGGGTGGCCCTAATCAACAGGAGCAGAAGTCCTGAGTCCTGATCTTCTCCATTCCTGAGTCAACTCAAAGGACTGGTGACAAGATGCCAGGGTCAGGAGATTCCAGAATGGCAAAGCACCCAGCTTCACTAGGGTGGGGATAACCAGTCTGCTAATTAAATCCCAGAGAGGCCATTCTGATTCCTGCCCAGAGACCACATTAGGGGGTAACTGGGGAGCTTTCCCTGTCCCTGAACAAGCAAGGAGCTGTCCTCTAAGTAAAATCCAAATCTCTTCTTAGCACAAAAATCAGGTCTTATGCAGGGCGCCTGATCATAGCCTATTGAAGTCTACAAAGGACTCCTGACCTGCACTGAGCATTCTGCTGTAGTGGTGGTTGTTAGCTGCTGTTTACTGAGAGTCCACTATGTGCCACCACTACACCGTCTGTCAGTTCGTTGTACTATGGTGATCTGCATGCTGCTAACCCTGGTGGCGTAGTGGTTAAGTGCTACAGCTGCTAACTAAAAGGTCAGCAGTTCGAATCCACCAGGCACTCCTTGGAAACTGTATGGAGCAGTTCTACGCTGTCCTGTAGAGTCGCTATGAGTCAGAATCAACAAGACGTCAACGGGTTTGGTTTGGTTTTTTTTTTTAATTATGCTGGAAGCTACGCCATCAGTATTTCAAATACCAGCTGGGTCATCCATGGTGGACAGATTTCAGCAGAAGTTCCAGACTAAGATACACTAGGAAGAAAGGCCTAGAGATCTACTTCTGAAAATTAGCCAGTGAAAACCCTATGGATCACAACAAAATATTGTCCAGTACAGGGCTGGAAGAAGAGAAGATGGTGCAGGACCAGGCAACATATTGTTCTGGTGTTTACGTAAAGTGGCCACGAACTGTGGAGCTGATTCAGTAGCCACTAACAGCAACACGATATGCCAGGCACTGTACTAGCTGCTTTCTATCCATTTAACCCTCGCAGATCCCAGGGGTCTTATTACTTCCACTTCATAGTCAGAAAAATTGAAGCTTAGAAAGGGTAGGTAACGTTCCAATGTCACACTTTAGTATGTGAGACCAAGCAATAGTTCCTGACACCAAGGTCCACTGAATTCCAGAATGTGCCAGGGGCCAGTGGGGACCAGCTAAGATCATCCTGTCTTCCCCACAAGACCTTTTGAACTTTCCAAGTATAGTGCCTGCATTGCAGAATTTACACTGTGAATGGCATTTTCTTTTAACAAAACTTCTCTCTAAGAAGGAGTAATTCACCAAAGAATTCTGATAATAACTAAAGCCCTTTTTGCTAAGGACAACACTGACACAAGAAATAATTTAGCAACCTCTTTTTAGCAAAGAGTTTTACGTAAGTAGGATTGTAATTGGATACCAGATCCACCAAGCCACTGAAACCAGTGCACAGGGTCACAGTAAAACTTCATTCTCTGCCCTCCACCATCACCAACAGACCCCATTAGCATTTTTTCTCTCTTCTTTGAAGTCAAAAGCTATCCTCTGGCAAGTAAAAAGTTTACTGTGTTCCTGTCATGCAAATGACTGCTGGCAGGCGGGCAGAAGGTGGAGGAGTTCCAGATATAGAGACCCACAAGACAAAGAACCCCAGAGTCGTTAGGTCTGGAAGCAGATGCCCAGGGTGTGTCTGGCTCACACTCAAGGTTGCATAAGCAAGATTTCAAAATTACTCCTACTCGGGAGACCTCAAACAAGTGTATAACCTTCCTGGCTGGAAAAGAAGAACTATATTATCTGAATTTTTTTTTTTTTTTTTCATATCTTTAGCATCACTTGCCCTTGTATCTCCGCCTTCTTTTTCTGCAGGAAACTTGATTTCCTACTTCTGCACACCAAATTTCTACCTCCACATCTGCTGGGTTCAGTTACCGAGAAGCCTGACACACCAGTGGCGCCTGGAAAAAACTGTCACCGGTGAGTTAGGGGGCTTTTCCTGTGACTTGATGAATCATCGGCTCAGGGTGTCTCAAAGCTGGAGACACTTGGACTAGGCACACCTTGAGGGACCGCAAAGCCCTGTGAACTTTGGTGGAATGGCTAAGGTGGAGGGAGAGGGTGAAGGGCAGCATCTGACCAGGAGGTTTTAGCAGAGATCCTGTTGACAGGGGGGAAGTGCAGAGCCCAGCCGGGGTTGGGGGACCCTTTCCCTGGACTCAGGAGGTCAGAGAGAGAGCACTAAAATAAGATCACAGCAGCACACTGCTCAATCCTGCCCCTCTTGCTCTGCCCCACCCGGCCCCAAATGGCTTTAAATGTAGAACTTTCTACCAGGAAACTTTATCTCCTCTCTAGTCCATATATGTGACAGTCCATGCCCCGAACCAAAACGAGCCTCTTGCCTCAACTCAGGAGGTCCACAGAGGCTGAACTGTGGAGATTTTCTGCAGGCAGGTTTTTGTTGTTCTGGATGATGTGTTCTGACTCCTGAAAGTGACACCTAGGTCAGGGTGTTTCAGCCACCTTGCTAAGCGTCCACTGTGGTAGGAGCCAGGTGCACTGGGGAGATGGGGCAAAACAACAAAAAGACAGAGGGGCTGGTATTTGAGATGCCAGGGCATGCAAACAATACAGGGTAGAACCCAGGGCGGAAGGTGATCAGGGCAGCACGACTCCTCCCAGCCACCTCCCAATCTGAATCTAGAGCAAGGGTCTGGGCTGTGTGTTCCTGACAGATTTCCTGTGGGATTCTGAGGCCCAGCATCTGAGAACCGCCGATTCCATCCACACTCTTGGGTTACACAATAGCCCAGAGGGCGTGCTGCAGTAAGTGCCTATATAGAAGGATTATCAATATATCAGTTTTTATTCGGTCTCCCATCCAGTCACCTGGGAGCCCAGTCCACAGCAGGGCATTTTGTTTTTCAGCAGCTTATAGCCAACTACTTCTGTTACTCGCTTATTCAGCTGATACTCACAGCTACTATGTGCTGGGCTCTGAGGGAGAAAGCTGTGGCAGTCTGCTTCTGTAAAGATGACAGCCTTGGAACCCTATGGGGCAGTTCTCTGTCCTACAGGGTCGCTATGAATCAGAATCAACTCTACAGAAATGTTTTTGTTTTTTATGTGCCGGGTTGGGAGTTCCTGGGTGGAGCAGATGGTTAACCTAAAGTTGGAGGTTCAAGTCCACCCAGAGGCACTCCAAAAGAAAGATCTGGTGATCTCCCTCCCAAAAATCAGCCACTGAAAACCCTATGGAGCTTAGTTCTACTCTGACACACATGGGGTCTCCATGAGTCAAAATCAACTCAATGGCATCTGTTTTGTTGCTTTGTTTTGTTTGTATGGACTGGGTTCTGGAGCACTTGCATACCTCGGTGCAAAACAAGACCCCTGCCCGCATGGAGCTTCTTTTCTAGAGGCAATGTAAATGGGTGTGTGTGTGTATGTGTGTGTGTGTGTGTGTGTGTGCTTGCATGTGCCCACACATGTGGTGGTGGGGGAAGAGTTGTGTGAGTGCATGTGTGAATTCGAAGGCTAAGTGCCAAAGAAATTTTGTCCCAGGCATAGAAGAATACTTAGAAAATCCATTAACTGTTCTGTGACATCTCTGCTCCCAGAGCCTGGAGTTCGGAACCCTTTAGAGGATTTGAAGAAAACAGCCTGAGGTTCAAATTCCAGCTCAGCCATCGCTTGCTTTGTGGGCTTAGGAATGTTATTTCTCCTGCCCATGCTTCAATTTCTTCATTTGTGAAATGTATAAATGCTCACCACCCAAAGTTGTTGTAAGAAATAAATTAATGTATGCAAAGCAGCATAGCTAGCACCGGAGCTTAAGGAGCACTCAAGATCATCACTGGATTTCTTTAAAACCAAAAACCAAACCCACTGCCATCAAGTCGATTCCAACTCAGAGCAACCCTATAGGACAGAGCAGAATTGCCCCATAGGGTTTCCAAGACTGTAAATCTCTACGGAAGCAGACTGCCACATCTTTCTCCTGCAGAGCAGCCGGTGGATTTGAACCCCCGACCTTTCAGTTAGCAGCCGACTGCTTTAACCACTGTGCCACCAGGGTGTAATTCTTCAGGCAGATACTTTTTTTTTCCAGCCTTGATCAGAGGTCTTATTTAGTTGCTGCAGACTTCAAGAATCTGCCTCAGTGAAGTGAAATGTAAGACTTGAGAAATGTGTCAATCACAGAGAAACTGAAGGATAAGATGTACAGATGGATAAAAAACAAATTTAGTCGCTATCAGAAGAAAATAAACGTTTTTTGAGAAGCAAGTTTAATGATGTTAGGTCTCATAATTATTATTATTATAAAGAGTCATATGCATTCATTCAGTGAACATGTATTGACGCCTCCTTTAGCCAGATGCTATCCTAAGAGCTGGCGATAGAAACATGACTTAGTCCTTGCCCTCAGAGAGCACCCAATGTGTAGAAGACAATGTGGTAAGTGCTTATTTAGGGGCAGGCACAGAGTGTTATGAGATGATAAGAGTGATTTGATAGAGGAGGCAAAGAAGCCTTCCCAAAGAAGGGGAATTTGAGCAGGGATATTGAGGGATGAACAGGAGCTCACAAGCCATCTTAGGCAGCGGGACAAGCATTGCAAAACCAGTGAAGCATGAAGGAAATGGTGACTTCGCGGAAAATGGAGAGAAGGTGGCTGTGGCTATAGCCCAGGATCTGGGACTCCAGACACGATTGGAGATGAAGCTGAGAAGTGGGCTTAGGAAGACACAGTGAACAGTGAGCATTACCTTTGAGGTCCCACCATATACAAACTACAAGGCTACTGGAGGTTTTGAGCTGAGAAGCATGTGATCCAATTTCCATTTCAGAGAAAACGGTTTGAAAGACAGCATGGCTGGGAACAGGGAGCAAAACGAGCAAGCACAAAACCACAACAAAGCAAGAAGTGAGGAGGGTCTGAGGCAAGGAAGTGGCAGCGAAAGAGGCGCAGAGGGGATGAATTTGAGAGGCATTTCTGAGGTAGAATTCACGTGACATAATATTACAGAGCATTTCTCTGTGCAAGGCTGTGCTGAGTACTTATCTCCATCAATCTTCACAGCAACTCAGGAAAGTCACTATTTTATATGTAAAGAGACTGAGACTTAAGTAATTAGCCCCAAATCACACGGCTTGTAAGTTGGGGGCAGGATTCAAATCCAGATCTGATTGATTCCAAAGGTCCTGGAGAGAACCCAGGATGACACCAAGCCCTGCTTCTCAGACAACTGAGTAAAGGACAACCATGAAGATAAGAAATCTACAAGCAGGAGCAGTTTCAGGGGTGCTTGGTTTGGGAGCGGTTGAATGAGGTTGAATGACATCGTCTTTGTTCACTATGTATCTGCAGTGCCTAGAACAGAGTACGGCTCATAGTGGGTTCTCGGTCAATACTGGTCAAATGAATACATCATAGGAAGACGTGCAGTGGGCAATGGAAAACTCACTTGTGAGCTTTAAGAGAAAGATGGGACTTGAAGACAGAGCTTTGAGAAGCATTAGCGTAAGGGAGAATAGATGATGATATGATTCAGAAAGAGCTTTGTAGCAACAATAAAGAGGTGAAAGGGAAAAGGGGTGAGACCCAGGGATAGTGCCTGGGGACACTTAAGGTGTGAGCAGGGGAGAGGTACCAACAACAACAAATTTTAAGAAGAAGTTGTCAGACAGGAGCTACCATCTGTTTGAAATGGAAGACGTTGGCAGACAGATCAATGAGGATGAGACTGGAACGAAGCCGGGGCATTTGAAAATCGGGTTTGTGATTGGCAACATTGGTAGGAGAAGTTTTGGCAGAATGATGGAGGCAGGATGACAGATGCAGAAGGTTGAGAGGGGTATCAGATAGATAACTCAGTTAGAATGCTTTCAGCTGCAAGTAACAGAAAATTTAACTCAAAGTGGCTTAAAAACAGGGGATTATTTATGTCAGATAACAAGAAGCCAGGAGATGAACGGTGCAAGGGAGGGTTCAGGACTTGATGATGTTGGGACTCTGCTTGGCTTTTCTCCAATTCTCTGGGTGTTTCATTCATGGCCCCAAGCTCCAAGTCCTTGCAAGACAAGTTCCTAAAGCAGACGGGGCAGGTGGGAGTTTCTCTGCGTGTGTCTCTCTTAGATCAGGAAGGTGCATTTCCAGAAACCCCTAGCACACTCCCTCTAACATATTAACGTCCAGGAATGGGTCACATGACTGTTCACGCCTGCAAAGGAGGTAGGAAAAGCAAGTTTCCAGCAGTTTTAAGCTTATAATGAAATCGGGCTTGCTGGGGAAGACAAAGCGTGTTGTGAAATAGCCGTTGAGTAGATCACGGGTGTCTGCACTAGGAATAAAAGGGAAGTGGGGGACTAGCACTGAGTCCCTGGGTGGTGCTAGTGGTTTACGTGCTTGGCTGCTAACCAAAAAATTGGAGGTTTGAGTCCATCCAGAGGTACTTCAGAAGAAAGGCCTGGCATTCTACTTCTGAAAAATCAGCCATTGAAAACCCTATGGAGCACGGTTCTAGTCTGACACACATGGGGTCACCATGAATCGGGGTTGACTCGTTGACAACTGATTGAGTGGACTAGCACACATGCTTTTAAGGAGAGAGTTTCAAAGGAAAGAACAAAGACTGGGGAGTTGCTAAGTGGAGCAAGGATACTTTTAAGACCAGGGATTTTGACAACGACACTGTGTGGCCTTCCTTTTACTCTGTTTCTAATCCGTTGCCGTCAGGTCGATTCTGACACATAGCGACCCTATAAGACAGCGTAGAACTGCCCCATGGAGCCGCTGGTGGATTCCAACTGCCGACCTTTTAGTTAGCAGCCAAGCTCTTAACCACTGCACCACCAGGGCTCCCTCTGTTTCTAGGACAGAGGAAAATAAATGACAAGGAAATGCTTCCCCAGTTCATCCACAACATGCTGTGTCCACAGCTCAGTCTTTCCTTACAAGAACTATCATGGAGGATGACAAAGAAGCCACCACTAGTTATGACTATGATTACGGTAACCACTAAGGAATTCTGTTGTTATTATTAGTTGCCGATTCCGACTCATGGCAACCTCGGGCACAGAGTAGAACTGTGCTCCATAGAGTTTTCTAGGACCTTATAAAAGTTGACTTTTTCTTTATTCACAGGGTTGAGCAAGATGGAACATCAAACGTCGAGTCCCATGTACGATTACATCGATTACAGTGCATCGGAGCCCTGCCAAAAACTGGACTTGAAGCAAATCGCAGCCCAGCTCCTGCCCCCGCTCTACTCCCTGGTGTTCATATTTGGTTTCGTGGGCAACATGCTGGTCGTCCTCACCCTGATAAACTGCAAAAAGCTGAAGAGCATGACTGACATCTACCTGCTCAATTTGGCCATCTCTGACCTGCTGTTTCTTCTTACCCTCCCGTTCTGGGCCTACCATGCTGCAAATGGATGGGTCTTCGGGAATTCAGCATGTAAATTATTCACTGGGCTGTATCACACTGGCTATTTTGGTGGAATCTTCTTCATCATCCTCCTGACAATTGATAGGTACCTGGCGATCGTCCATGCTGTGTTTGCTTTAAAAGCCAGGACGGTCACCTTTGGGGTGGTGACAAGTGGGGTCAGCTGGGTGGTGGTTGTGCTTGTCTCTTTACCAGGAATCATCTTTACCAGAACCCAACAAGAAGAGTCTCATCATATTTGCGGCCCTGCTTTTCCAGTAAAATGGAAGAATCTCCATACGATTATGAGGAATATCTTGAGCCTGGTGCTGCCACTACTTGTCATGGTCATCTGCTACTCGGGAATCCTGAAAACCCTCCTTCGGTGTCGAAACGAGAAGAAGAAGCACAAGGCCGTAAGGCTCATCTTTACCATCATGATTGTCTACTTCCTTTTCTGGGCTCCCTACAACATTGTCCTTGACCTGACCACCTTCCAGGAGTTCTTTGGCCTGGATAATTGCGATAGCTCTAACAGGCTGGACCAAGCCATGCAGGTGACGGAGACTCTTGGGATGACACACTGCTGCATCAACCCCATCATCTATGCCTTCGTCGGGGAGAAGTTCAGAAGGTATATCTCAGTGTTCTTCCGAAAGCACATTGCCAAACACCTCTGCAAACAATGTCCAGTGTTCTATGGGGAGACAGCAGATAGGGTGAGTTCAACCTACACCCCATCCACTGGGGAGCAGGAAGTCTCGGCCGGTTTATGAAATGAGGAGCCATTTGCTTGTTACTTTTAAAAGGAAAAAAATAAACTGCCCTTGAGGAAATCAATCTGTGTATAATAACAATCCTTAAGGGTTTGTCGAAGAATAAAAACGTGTGAAGCAGGTGCCCTGGAACCTCTGAGTTGTATGTCCCAAGACAGACTCATGACACACCTTGTATATATAGCATATGCTCAGGGAATATTCCAGAACAATCCCACGTAGAGGCTTTGACTCTCCAGCAAGCTCACCTCGGTTCCTGGATGATGCTGCATCCCCTGTGTTTATGCTTTTTCCAGCCCACACCATTTCATCGTTCTGTATCTGTTTCTATCAATCTCTTGTAATCAAGGGTCCAGTTGGAAGAGAAGAGGAGACGGAGAAAGCCACAGGGTGAATGGGAATGAGGGTGACTGGGTCAGGGCCAAGTGCAAGAAGGTGGGAGACGTGAGCACGGCTGAGCCTGGGCAAGTATGAAGGTAAGGGCTTCACTCACACAACCAACCAGGAAGCGGTACCGACCCTCAGCCTCATCTCCCACCTGTAGTTAACTTTGTAGACTTTGCCAGGTCATGGAGAGCTTGGGAACTGTATTAACTTTCCTGGAATTTTGGTTGGGTCTGATGAACTTCTTGTGTGTAAGTGCATGACACACTTTTGCTTTCCTACCTTTTATTTATGACAATCATGAGTTGGAATCAACTTGATGGCAACTGATCTGGTTTACTGGTTTCATGACAACCACACACTCTACATTTGAAATCTGTTAAATGCCCTGTCCCATTACTCACATATATTTTAGGCCTTATCCCCCTATAGAAAAATTTATGTCAAATTTTTGTTTATAAAATATTGCATAATCTATGATCAACTGAAAAACAAAACAAAATAAAAACAGCTTGT